GTTCAGTCTCCTCTCAAGTTCCAATCTTGACTTCTCATCGAGATGCGAATTCTCCTTGAAAGCACTGCAATAGTAAAATTAAACCACTGTAAATAGAAGTTTCCAGTCAACAACACATAAGAAGAAAGAAAGAAAAAAAAAACGCCATAACTTACTCAGCTAATGCCCAGTAAGTGATGCTCTTCTCAACCCCGTATCAAGTAACCTTAATAGAATACCATAAGCTTTAGAGTAATAAATAAATACAAATCACGATCTTCAAGCTATACTGAAGTCATAATATAATCCTTTCATACTTTACACAAGTTCTCAAAATAGAAAACTTTAGCTACATGGGCATCAACATTATTTCATAAAACAATACTATCAAAAGCTCAAATCATTCTTTAACCCATGACTCATTGGCAACCTACAACCACCATTATATCGTGTAGCACATGTCATTATCGGTATAATGGTCCAAAAAGACTCGATGATTCAGAATGAGCTGGATGGAACGTTCCAACAAATAATTCAAAAGTAAAGACTCGACGATTCGGAATGAGTCAAGTTCGACGATTCAGAATGAGCATTTAGGAACATTTCAAGCCGAACATAACAAACAACAAAATTTAGGTTGTCTCAAGAGTTTGGCCAAACATTCAAAATAACTCTTATAATCAAATAGCTCATTGTAGCAAAAATCATTTCCTTAAAAATCACATAACAAAGTACATATCCAAAGGTAATATGAAATCCGTACAATTCATAACTTGGCAATACAAATATGAAATTATAAACTAATAATTGTCAAATAAATCATCTTTTAGAGCAAAACACCTTAGTATAAAATCCTATACATACAATTATAATCAAACAATAGTCATGTTCACTTATTCATGAAATCCAAACGTAGACATGTCTAAAGATACCTTTAATCAAGTTTAATAGCACAAAAACATATCATGGCAATTCTTCAAACATATATTTAATAATTAATATTACTCCATATAACACGAATAAGAGTGAATACACACTTTAACAATCATAAATAGCTTTAGTCATATTATATCAAAAAGCCCGAAGTATATTTAACTCATACTAACCCTAAAATGGGTACTCAAGGTAATAGAGATTCCATAATAGATTATGGGTTTTACAAAATAAAGAGAGAAGAGTTAACCACTTACCTAAAATATCAAAATCTTAGCTATTTAGCTCACCGAAATACTTCTAGTCAAAATCCCTAATATTTTCAAACATCAATCTTAGGGCTCCAATGATAAACCCAACTCAAAAAAGAGTGAAAAATGGAGGTCAAACTCACCTAGGATATTCCAATAACTTGAGAACTAAGCTTGAAGAGGGGTGAGATCAAAGCTTCAAGGTTTTTCTTTCCCTTATCTCTCTAGTCAACTCTCCTTATCTTCTTTCAAATGGGATTTTTATCCAAGACTAAGGGGATGATGTTTGGTTCATGGAAAATGTTTTCCAAAGAAAACATTTTCTGGAGGAAAATGTTGTTTTCTTGTGTTTGGTTCATGGAATTCATTTTCCATTGGAAAACGAATTCCTTAAATTTGAGGAAAACAAAATCTTTGGTTGGACCAAGGATTTTGTTTTCCATGGAAGATGGGAAGAAAAAGTGAGATGGAATGCCTATTTTATCCTTGTTTACTTTATTAAATTATATTACTTTTATTAATTTGTAGGGGCATATAGGTCTTTATACTCGTTATTCCTTACAACTCCAAATCTAACCAAACAATAGAAGTAATATTCCCAATAATTCTTTTTCCACCAACCAAACAATGAAATTCATCTTCCTAGTAATTGTTTTTCCATGAAATTTCAATTCCACTTCCCTTAAAATATTTTCCGCGAACCAAACGAGAAATGATTCCTTAACCTTTAGGGGTCGTTTGGTTCATGGAATGTCAGATTACCTTAGGGAATGTTAGATTGCTGGGAATGTTAGATTACTGGGAATGTTAGATTATTGTGTTTGGTTAAAATTGGCGTATGTAATATAATCATGTTTGGTTTAGGGTTATCTTTTATACACACTATAATATCCTTAACATATTTTCATATATTTTAATAAATTTAAAAATTTAAATAAATAAATAAGATAACGGTATCATATATAATTACATGATTTTAAAATATTAACTAAAATCATGAACTTGAGAAACAAAATTATTTTATATGCTAACATAACATAATAAAAATAAAAAAATATATAATTACAAATATATATATATATATATATATATATATATATATATATATATATATATATATATATATATATATATATAAAATAAACTAACATAACCAAGGTTATCTTACATTACCTAAGATTTTGAAGGGAATCACATTCCCTTCAAAATCCTATGTGGAGGGAATGTGTAATAAACTAACATAACCAAGGTTATCTTACATTACCTAAGATTTTGAAGAGAATCACATTCCCTTCAAAATCCTATGTGGAGGGAATTGAATGTGACATTCCTTTGGAATGTTAGATTCCCTTAGATAATATGAACCAAACACCGGAATGTGAGCTTTGGAATGTCACATTCCCTTGGTTAAGTTATATAACCTGAACCAAACGCCCCCTTAAGGATAACAAAGGGTAACTTAGTAATTTATCCCGTATCAAATTTTAATGAGCTTTAACTTGTTGACCTCATTTAATAAACATATGTATATTTTTATTTCTAAGATAGTGGGTATTACCTATAGAAACTTGCATATTTATGAATTCAAAAGAACTAATCAATTGTATGATGATGATGATGGTTTTATGTTCAGTTCTTTATTTTGCCCATCCTTTACCATTTGTGAATAGACAAGAATGAGAAAAAAAATCAAAAGTTATACTTTAAGCCTGCAAAAGAGGTTGTTGCTACTCTCCAAAAATCCATGTAAGTTGATCCAACTACCCCTATATATATATATATATATATATATATATATATATATATATATATATATATATATATTTGTGTGTGTGTGTGAACATTCATGATTTAATTTCATTTATTTATTTATTTATTTATTGTTTTATGTTTGCTATCATCCATTTATATTTTGGCAAACAAATTCATTTGTGTTATCAATACTGTGCCTAAGAAATAAAGTAAGATACTCATTGTGATTAGATTTATCTATTTCCTATATTATCTTGTTTGATCTGTGTTTATTGTTAATCACATTATCGCATTGTGACTTGCATTCTTAATTTTCAGTTCACTTTCTACCGTTCAATGATCTTAATTGTGTCATTTGTGTGTATACTATCACTACATTGTAATTTGCACAAATTATGTTGTGGAAACGTGTTCACCATGCGCATGCCGCATGGTGAATAAATGGGTAGATCCATAATTTCTATACTGTAGATTCATTATTTTGTTTTTCATTTGTTGCTATAGGCATTTCTCTCTTCGCAATCGCATTATTTCGTCTTCGCAGTACAGATATTATGAATCTACAGTATAGAAATTATGAATCTACAGTATAGAAATTATGAATCTACAGTATATAAATTATGAATCTAGAGTATAGTATGAAAAAATTATGAATCTACAGTACGAAAAAATCATGAATCTACAGTATGAAAATTATGAATCTACAGTATAGAAATTATGGATCTACCCCGTGTTCACCATGTGGATGGTGAACACAATTCCATAGCATAACGTTCTGTAATTTAGGTTACGTTCTTCATTTTTTTTTTTTTTTTTTTTTTTGCTTTATGCCGTCAACGCATATGGCCTCTCAGCAGATAACAGAAGAGGCTGTCTATTTATACACTGGTCACTGGGCATCCATTGCCCAAAGACGGAGCAAATCTCGTACTGGGAATGACTGAAATGTGTAGTCAACACCCCCTATTTCCATAGATGTGTGCTGATTTTTTTTTTTGACATAAATGTGTAAAACTAACTTGGGACTTGCGTTTTAGGAGCTGTCCCGGTGACTTTTTCTTTTTTCATAATTTTCAAAAACGCAAGATGGACTTGCTTTTTTTGTATTGAATACGTAAAACGCATTGAAATGCGTTTTAAGTTGACATACGGTATGCTGAAAAACGCAACTGGCATTTGCGTTTTAAGTATTATAGACGTGGAGTCCGTAACGTCCGTTCATTACTTGATTCCGCAAGTACGGAGAGATAACGGCTTCCAAAAATGACGGCCTTAAATAAAAGGAGGAACGTTGACTGTCTCGGCGCCATCGACAAACGGTGGTATGGGAGAAGATATTGAGTGCCTGAGTGGACTGTTTGACGAAATGTGCAGATTAAAAGAAAAAAAAGGTAAAAATGTGACTTACCACTTTTGAACTGAAAATACATTTGTATAAATACTCAAATTCTTTTAAAAAGTATAATTAACATTTTCATAAATTATCATTAAGTAAACTCGTCTTGTGACCCTAGTCAACAAAATATCACAAAAAAGTAAACAATTTAAATTGCTCATAAATCATAACTGATAGGCTCAAACTAAGAAGACTCACTCAAAGTCAAACTTAGAACCATATAATTACCAAATCAACTGTTTGACCGGCTGACATTTTAATCATTTAAGATTTTGGCCCTGTTTAGTAAAATAGTTAGTTTATCGATCAATTTTGGCTTATTTGACCATTATTAACTGTTTGACTTAAATAAAAATCAATATAAGTGTTAGGTTTAATCAATTTTTTTCTTTTTTTTGAAAAAAGTTTAATCAATTATTTGTAATTACAAAATCTTAAAATTCAAAAAACTGCTCAAAACAACTTTTTCAATTAACTTTTTTTAGAAAAGAAATTATACCAAACAACTAATTTACTAAACATTTTATACAATCAGTTATCAACTAGTTATACACTCTAACCCAAACAACTAACAACTATCAACTAACAGCCATTTACCAAACATGCACTTTAGGAACCAAATCTGATTATATCAATTCTACCACAACTGGAAAATAAAACAATAAAGCTTAAATTATATCAGGGCATTGTGCCATAGTCCGCAGCTAGAAACCATACATTAAGGCTTGTAAGATGATCAGTAAACAGAAGAATTTGATAATAAAAATTTATGTAATCTAAATTTGACTGGGTTAAATTTGACAGATGCCTATGTTACTGTCAAACAGCAATATCTGCCATGTTATCCTGAATGACTATAGACTGCCTGCTCACAACAGCTCTTCTGAACATCTTTTAGTCGAAAAGCCCCTCATCGTACCAAACATCAACCAAAAAGTTGACCATCTCCTGTGTAATGCAGAAACCAATTCGTTTTTTAGTTTTTTTTTGCAGTGGGAATTAGTATCAGAATGCAATCACAATGGCTAAAACGCGTGGATTTATATAAGAGATTGCAGTAGCAAGAAAACATGGTTTAAGATCTATGCTGACAGGTTAATGTTTTCTTGATTGCTTACAGGTAAAGAAATTCGCTCAGCGAAAGGCTTGTTGGTTGACAGCAAGTCCTCGTAGGTCATCGACCAACTGCAGGCAAGAAACAGCTCAGGTTACTGACAAATGTTTCGTCAAGAAAAGGGACTGTTTGACAAAACGCTTGTGGCAATTGCGTTTTGCGTTTTAGGGAATACGATCGACGACAGAAACGCCGGTAATAAACCATTCCGGTCGGTGGTAAAACGCAAATGGCAGATGCGTTAAACGTATAATAGGTTTAACGCATCTCCCAAATACGTTTTAGAGTATGTGATAAGTATGTGATAATTAAGTATAAGTAAAACGCATTTTGGAAATGGGTTTACGTATTCAATACAGAAAACGCAAGTCCATCTTGCGTTTTTGAAAATTACCAAAAAAAAAGTCCCCGGGACAGCTCCTAAAACGCAAGTCCCAAGTTAGTTTTACACATTTATGTCAAAAAAAAAAAAAAATCAGCACACATTTATGAAAATAGGGGATGTTGACTACATATTTCAGTCATTCACCCGTAAATGTTCTTATCAATATCTTCACACGAACTTGTGATATAAGTCAAGGAACTTATATTCATACTGCACTTTACTCTTCTAAAATAACAGAGAGGTACTGTACTTCACTTAGCCCCATAAGCATGACAAAGTGGCAGCTATTCCTACAGATAGATCAGTCTTTTCAGATCCATTGTACTTATGGAAGCATGCTTGAAGGTTAGGGTTTACGTATTTGTAATTGCATATTGGTTTTGGCATTAAAATGCAATTCGCTGTTTTGCATTACTCTTGTTTTTTGACTCTTAGCTTGCTTTCAAATTGCATGTATGTCTCCAACCTTTTTATTTTTTGTAGAGGGTCTTTTTGGAAGGAAACCCATACCTAGCTTCTTGTGAGTACCATGGTTGTATCACGTACTACTACATTCTGTGTTTGGCTTCTTGGCATTCAATAATGGTAAGAAATAGCATCTCTTATGCAGAGCAGATAATAAATGCAAGTTTGCAGGATAAATTATGATTTTGAATAACTATTAACTTTTCAGATATTCAATTTTGGAACAAAAACAAGTCCATGGAAGGCCGGGTTATCTGCAAAATCAGTTATTGTGAACTTTATTTGTCTTCCTTTATTTACTTGACAATGAAACTTCATGGATGATACTTGCAAGTTAGGTATCTTGTTGCATTGAGTTCTGGAAAATAGGAAAGGCCATGCACATAGAGGTATATATGTATGAACATGTAAATTTCAACTGTTATATATATTTTTTTACTTGAAGAAAATGACACTTAATGGATGATGGATGATACATGAAAGCTCTGATATTGGTTGTTGGGCCATGCACAAATGTAAGACCAGACCTGTATTGACTGACATAGTGAAATTTAATTTGACAGAAGGGTCAAATATGCAGGTTTGGATACCCGAAAATCCACATTCGAATATATTTTTCCACAAGCTCATGGAGCAATATCTTGGATGAGTGTGAAGGAGCCTGTCATTGCTACTTCCACTATAAAGGCAGAATTTGTAGCATGCTTTGAGGCTACAATTCAATAATCATGGCTGCGTAATTTCATTTATGGTTTGGGCATTGTTGACACTATAGCCAAACCATTGAGGATTCATTATGATAATACAGCAGCTATGTTCTTCTCAAAGAACGACAGATATACTAGTGGTGCCAAGCACATGGATTTGAAATTTCTGTCTGTTAAGGAGAAGGTACAAAATCAAAAGAGTATCAATAGTGCATATTGGCACCGATCTTATGATCACGGATCCGTTGACTAAGGGATTGGCGCCCACGACCTTCATTGGCCATGTTGGAAGGATGTGCATACTGGTAAAGTCCTTGTATAACGGTTAACTCTGCCATACATGTATGGATTTATGTTTGATAGCACATCAGGTTGATGATACTCTTAGATATCTATTCAGGTTTTGATTTTGTTATGGTTGATGTTGATCACTTATTTATGCATAATTCAGAAGTGATAACAATGGTCTTGTTTAAGACATAAGGAATAAGGTAGATTCGGATTTTACCTTATTATTACGGTTCGAATTTTTATTAACTGTGATACATGGAAGGGAGCGGGACGCTATGTCAGGCCTGTAACCGCCATGATTCGATTAATAAAGTTCGATAAGGTGGTGAATTTTACATTTTCATATTAAGTGAGCTCAAATTAAGGATTGAAAATTGTAAAGTCACGCATATATGAATCAAGTGGGAGATTGTTAGAAATAATTTATTCCTAACGTTGATTCATATAATTAAGGTGTCATGCTCATATGAATCAGTGGGAGACTGTTAGAAATAATTATTTCCTAACAATGATTTATATAATAAAGGTTGTAATTCCATAAGGTACTCACGTTGATGATTAGTGATGTGTAAAGACGGAATTACTGGGTGAAATTCCCTCCCTCTCATTCTGTTAAAATTTACAGTTTAGAAATTATGAATCTAAAGTATAAATTTTATGAATCACCAGTATAAAAATTATGAATTTATAGTATAAAAATTATGGATATGAAATTGTAACCACCTCACAGCATAGCGTTCCTAAAATCTTCTCCTTGGCCTTTGCTGACAATCCTTAGACTTAAAATGTCTTCAATAGGAATTGTAAGAATGCTGTGAACAGATGAATACGTTCATGTATGCTCACAGAAGTTTATTGAAGAAATACTTTCTTCTTCACTACTACTACTATTATTAGTCATTTTTTAATCTCTTGGATCTGTGGGGTGTGGATATTTGCTACGGCCTTTAGTGGCCTGAGATATAAACAAGATTAACTCAAACAATCGATTTGCTATTGAAAAGATCAGAGTAAGGCTTCTGTTTCTCCAGCTCCCTACCATGATATATCTTTCATCATTTGTTTTCCTAGTAATAAGAAACAATATATTATATTAGGAAATGTATTACATTATTTTACAATATTAGGCAAATTTTAATAGTTAAATAAGAATTTGTCAATTTTAAACAAGTGAGAATAATAAGAGTTAATTCTATTTTTGGTCCTAAATTTATATGTGTCAAATTAAGGACTTATATATATATATATATATATATATATATATATATATATATATATATATTAAAGGACTTGTATTTTATTAGGAAAGCCTTTATTTCTAATTAACACAAATATATCTATTTTCCTAAACTTATTTATTATTTAATTATTATCCATCTGTTTCATAATCAATTGAATTCTTGACTCCTAAACTTTGCACATGACAAAAGAGTTTTTTCCAAAAATGGTCCTTCGACTATTGGTCATTCTCAATTTTGCATTTCAACTTTCAATTGCACCAAATCTGGTCCCTCGACTTTTAAAAACTCACCCAATTTGATCCTCCGTTAAGTTTTCCGTCAACTCAGTGTTAAAATGGAGGTCATTTTTGCCCGTTTACCTATTGTACGCCTAATATACACTGAGAAATAATCGAGGGACCATTTTGGGAATAGTCAAGGGACCATTTTGGGAAAAACTCATTTTTATTTTTTATTTTTTTATTTCATTGTGTGAATTTTCATTTTTTTAGACTCTATCAATTTAGAATGAGTAAATACCCAAAATGGTCCCTCGACTATAGCTAAATTCACAAATTGGTCCTCGACTTTCAATTTCAACCAATTAAGTCCTTAACTCTGCAATTTTGACATGATTTCGTCCTCCATCTATTTGACTGTTTGTTGACCGTGATCGACGATCTCCAGAAAAACCTTCAGCTCTCGTCGGAGCACGTGGAGGCCTTCAGGATGATGTTGCACTGGTTCAGAAACACACCGTATTCTTCACTCTGGTACGAACTCAACTACATTGAATCCAAAGGGAGGATGAAGAAAGGCGACCGGATTTGGTAGATTGCTTTCGGCAGTGGATTCAAATGTAACAATGCAGTCTGGAAATAGAACCGGAACCTTAAAAAACTGACGGTGGACCATGAAATTACATATATATCCTCAAAAATCACAGTCAACAAACGGTCAAATAGATGGAGGACCAAATCATGTCAAAATTACAAAGTTAAGGACTTAATTGGTTGAAATTGAAAGTCGATGACCAATTTGTGAATTTAGCTATAGTCGAGGGACCATTTTGAGTATTTACTTATTTAGAATTATTGTAGATTTTTTTACAAATATAAATAGTTAAAATCCCACAATCCAACCTCAAAAATTTTTAACTTTCTTTATAGACTTTTTTTCCTCTGTCTAAACATACAAATTTTTCTTCTATTCTTATCAAGTTTTACAATAAGTTCCGTAAATTTCATAAAACGCATATATGTTTTATTTTTATCTTTTATATATTTATATATAACATACTAAAAGTCTTTCAATAGACCATCAATCATTATGTATCACATTAAATATTATTTTTATCGTTAAAAATAACATTTTTATTTTTTGTACATACCTTGATAATAAAATTTCGCTTTCAAATTTAAGTTTATTAATGGAATGAGACTAATATAATGGCCCTGTGGGCTAAAATAAACCAATTTCCAAAAAAATATTTTCCAACATTTTGTCATTAATCGAGAAGTGAAGTGTACTTTTTAGTATTGAGAAGTGCCAGAAACACCTCTCTAACTGAGAAGTGTGCCATCGGCCTTGTGACCAAAAAGAAAATTTACCTTCCGGCCCAAATTTTTTCTTACATTTTGCACTCTTTGGGTGTCTAAACTCGAAAAAAATAATAATTTATTTTCAATGACACAAATAATATTTACAGGGCATTTGGTTGGAAGGAAGGAATTAGATGAGAAAGGAATTGTAATTCAGTGCGAAAATAATAAGGTTGGAATAAAGTTGGAATTCAAATTACATTGTTTGGTAGAGAGAAAAAAGAATTATTGAGAATGAGAAGGAAATAAGTTATATGAAGACTAAAATGTCATTGTGTACAATCGTTATATCCTGCACCACGGCGCGCATAACACTGAGCGCCTTGCGCCTCCCAAAACGACACCGTTTTGGAAAGTTATGTAGGTAGTTGATTATGTGTATTTGTTTATAAATTATGTGTAATTGTTTATACAATTATGTGTA